TGTCACCTCCACCCTGGGTGAGGGGGTCTGATGCTGCGTGTCCTCCTCCCTCCTGTCTCCGCTTGGGAGTTGTCTCTGTCACGAGTTAGTCCGTTCTCTGTCCCCCCCCTTCCTGCCCCCCAACTTTTTGTTGTGCTCGTGTGGAGCTGGGGGATGTGTCTGGGGTGGGGGGGGACAATGCCACCACCAACAATGTCACCACCAATGGGGAGAGACATGGGTGGCACCCAATTGCCTGAACCTGGTGGTGGCATCTCAAGGGACGACGTCACCCTCCTGCCACCCTGGGGCTGGACACACCCTGGGCAGGTGCTGGTGCTGCTCTCAAGGGGGACATGGGGGACACAGGGGTGGGGACAGACTGTGTCACCATCTCACCAGCCACCATCTGTACCTACAGGCTCTTCAAGGAGCAGCATGAGGACCTGGTGGACCATGTCCCCAAGGAGCGGGAGGTGCTGCTGGAGCGGGAATTCCAGCGGGTCACCATCTCTGGGGAGGAGAAATGTGGGGTGAGCCTCCCCCCACCACCCACCAGCACCCACTGAGGGTCTTCAAGGTGTCAACCTCCACCTTGGGGTTGGTTTATTTTGATGTCCTCCTTCCCCAGGTGCCCTTCACGGACCTTCTGGATGCGGCCAAGAGCGTGGTGAAGGCGTTGTTCCTACGGGAGAAGTACATGGGGTTGTCTCTCCAGAGCTTCTGCAAAACCACCTCCCGGTACCTGCAGGAGCTCTCCGAGAAACCCCTGGAGACCCGGGGCTACGAGGAGGTCCCCGAGACCCCCGTGGCTGCTGGTGAGCACAAGGTGGTGGGATCTTCACGCTGGGATGAGGTGCTGGAGGAGCTTTGGAGGAGCCATCTAATGATACATGTCTTGTTGGGGGTCTCCTGGCTGCAGATGCTGCCGTGCACCCCCCGTTTGCGGAGCAGCACCCCTACGAGACGTGGGATCCCCAGACCATGCCGGCTGATCTGGGCTTTGGGTTGAAGATGGTGGATGGTGTGGTGCACGTCTACACCAAGCAGGACCTCACCGACAAGTGAGTTGTGAGTGGTGGGTGGTGTGAAGGGACAAGGGGAGTCTGGTGGATCTTGTCCCCACGTGTCACCCACCTCTGTCCCCCTCCAGGAGCACGGAGCTGGACCTGCCGTACCCCGACCTGCAGGAGTTCATTGCCGACATGAATTTCCTCATGGCTTTGATTATCAACGGGCCCATGTAAGGAGAACAGTCCCACCATGGGGGTATCTTCAGGGGTTCCCACCATGAAGGTGTCATGTGGGGAACAGAACCTTGGGGACAGCACCAGAAGACATGGTGGTGGCTATGACACGTGGTACTGGTGCAGCTCCATGTGTCCATCCTTGTTCATTCATGGTCACCATGCATGGGGAGGAGGGTCCAAGAGTCCAGAGCTGTGTCCCCTCATCCTGGTGGGCACCAACCTTATGGGACTGGATGTTCTCCCTCCTCTCCCCTAAACTGACATCCCCTCCCCACCTTGGGCAGCAAATCCTTCTGCTACCGCCGGCTGCAGTACCTGAGCTCCAAGTTCCAGATGCACGTGCTCCTCAACGAGATGAAGGAGCTGGCGGCCCAGAAGAAGGTGCCCCACCGTGACTTCTACAACATCCGCAAGGTACCTGCTGCCTCGTGGTTGGGGGTCTTGGCTTGACTGGGGAGTACTTGGAGGGTCTCAGGGCTGAGCATCACCTCCTGCCGTGCAGGTGGACACCCACATCCACGCCTCATCCTGCATGAACCAGAAGCATCTCCTGCGCTTCATCAAGCGAGCCATGAAGAAGCACCTGGATGAAATTGTCCACGTGGAGAAGGGCAAGGAGCAGACGCTCAAGGAGGTCTTCGAGACAATGAACCTCACCGCCTACGACCTGAGTGTGGACACGCTGGATGTCCACGCGGTACGGGAGACATCCCCAAGTCTTGGAGATGAGCAGAACCCCCAGCTCATCCCTGGCTGGGATGGTGGATCTTCTCCAGGGGGTTGTCCCAGGAGAAGGGATGGGATCCCTAGGATGATCCCTAGATCCTGGCTAGGATGGGGTGTGCTGGGGGGCTCTGTGGTGGCTCTGAGGTGATGAGGGATCTCAGCTCACATCTGCTCTCCCCGGCCAGGACCGCAACACCTTCCACCGCTTCGACAAGTTCAACGCCAAGTACAACCCCATCGGCGAGTCCATCCTGCGGGAGATCTTCATCAAGACGGACAACCGCGTCTCGGGGAAGTACTTCGCCCACATCATCAAGGTGAGCAGCCCTGGGGAACCTCAGGTCTCCCTCTCTCTGATGCCCATGGTGGCAGGTGCACCACCTTCCTGGTGGCCGAGGGGTGACACTTGCCCCTCCCTGGCAGGAGGTGATGTCCGACCTGGAGGAGAGCAAGTACCAGAACGCCGAGCTGCGGCTCTCCATCTACGGCCGCTCCCGGGATGAGTGGGACAAACTGGCCCGTTGGGCCGTCAACCACCGTGTCCACTCCAACAACGTCCGCTGGCTCGTGCAGGTGCCCCGGCTCTTGTGAGTAACCTGGGGGTAGATACCCTCAAACTGGGACCATGTCCTGGGTGGGGAGACCAAGGACACCCCACTGATGTCTGCTGTGGGGTTGGGATGGAACCAGGGGGTAGATACCCTCAAACTGGGACCATGTCCTGGGTGGGGAGACCAAGGACACCCCACTGATGTCTGCTGTGGGGTTGGGATGGAACCAGGGGGTAGATACCCTCAACTGGGACCATGTCCTGGGTGGAGAGACCATGGACACCCTACTGATGGTAGAGATGGAACCAAGGGGTAGATACCCTCAACTGGGTCCATGTCCTGGGTGGGGAGACCAAGGGCACCCCACTGATGTCTGCTGTGGGGTTGGGATGGAACCAGGGGGTAGATACCCTCAAACTGGGACCATGTCCTGGGTGGGGAGACCATGGACACCCTACTGATGGTTGAGATGGAACCAAGGGGTAGATACCCTCAACTGGGTCCATGTCCTGGGTGGGGAGACCAAGGGCACCCCACTGATGTCTGCTGTGGGGTTGGGATGGAACCAGGGGGTAGATACCCTCAAACTGGGACCATGTCCTGGGTGGGGAGACCAAGGACACCCCACTGATGTCTGCTGTGGGGTTGGGATGGAACCAGGGGGTAGATACCCTCAAACTGGGACCATGTCCTGGGTGGGGAGACCAAGGACACCCCACTGATGTCTGCTGTGGGGTTGGGATGGAACCAGGGGGTAGATACCCTCAAACTGGGACCATGTCCTGGGTGGGGAGACCAAGGACACCCCACTGATGTCTGCTGTGGGGTTGGGATGGAACCAGGGGGTAGATACCCTCAAACTGGGACCATGTCCTGGGTGGGGAGACCAAGGACACCCCACTGATGTCTGCTGTGGGGTTGGGATGGAACCAGGGGGTAGATACCCTCAAACTGGGACCATGTCCTGGGTGGGGAGACCAAGGACACCCCACTGATGTCTGCTGTGGGGTTGGGATGGAACCAGGGGGTAGATACCCTCAAACTGGGACCATGTCCTGGGTGGGGAGACCAAGGACACCCCACTGATGTCTGCTGTGGGGTTGGGATGGAACCAGGGGGTAGATACCCTCAAACTGGGACCATGTCCTGGGTGGGGAGACCAAGGACACCCCACTGATGTCTGCTGTGGGGTTGGGATGGAACCAGGGGGTAGATACCCTCAAACTGGGACCATGTCCTGGGTGGGGAGACCAAGGACACCCCACTGATGTCTGCTGTGGGGTTGGGATGGAACCAGGGGGTAGATACCCTCAAACTGGGACCATGTCCTGGGTGGGGAGACCAAGGACACCCCACTGATGTCTGCTGTGGGGTTGGGATGGAACCAGGGGGTAGATACCCTCAAACTGGGACCATGTCCTGGGTGGGGAGACCATGGACACCCTACTGATGGTTGAGATGGAACCAAGGGGTAGATACCCTCAACTGGGTCCATGTCCTGGGTGGGGAGACCAAGGGCACCCCACTGATGTCTGCTGTGGGGTTGGGATGGAACCAGGGGGTAGATACCCTCAAACTGGGACCATGTCCTGGGTGGGGAGACCAAGGACACCCCACTGATGTCTGCTGTGGGGTTGGGATGGGACACACGTCTCTTAGCGGGGTCCATCCCTCTGCAGTGATGTCTACCGGACGAAGAAGCAGTTGGCCAACTTCCAGGAAATGCTGGAGAACATCTTCCTGCCCCTCTATGAGGCCACCATCCACCCTGCCCAACACCCAGAGCTGCACCTCTTCCTGGAGCACGTGAGCACCACGTCCTGCTCTCAGCATGGGGATGGGGGGACACCAGTGATACCCACAAACCCCAGCTTGAGGGGTCTCAAGATCTCCTGGTGGAAGAGTGACCATCCCACCTTGGGGTTGTCTCTCCCACAGGTGGATGGTTTTGACAGCGTGGATGATGAATCCAAACCAGAACATCACATCTTCAACCTGGACAGCCCTTTGCCAGGCAACTGGGTAGAGGAGGACAACCCACCCTACTCCTACTACCTGTACTACATGTACGCCAACATGACGGTGCTCAACCACCTCCGACGGTAAGGACACCTTGGGCACCTCCACCTGTCCTGGAGGGGTCCCCGGGGGGGGTCAGATGATGATGATGATGATGATGATGGTGGTGGGCTCCACGTTGCAGGAAGCGAGGCTTCCACACCTTCGTCCTGCGCCCACACTGCGGCGAGGCCGGTCCCATCCATCACCTCGTCTCGGGCTTCATGGTCTCAGAGAACATCTCCCATGGCTTGTTGCTCCGCAAGGTGGGTGGGGACTGGGGTGTCCATGGTGGGGGGGGGCTGGATGAGTGGCTGGGACCTCTCCTCACCCCACTGTGTCCCCCCCAGGCCCCCGTCCTGCAGTACCTCTACTACGCCATGTCCCCGTGAAGCAACAACATCCTGTTCCTCAGCTACCCCCGCAACCCCCTGCCCGAGTACCTCTCGCGGGGGCTCATGGTCTCCCTCTCCACCGATGACCCTCTCCAGTTCCACTTCACCAAGGTGAGCGGTTGTAGGGGGAGATCATGGGCCACCGATCCCCCCAAAACCAGTTACAAGGTGGCCACCAGCCAAGTCCTGGTGATGGGATGGGGTTGGTGG